CTGAACCCCTAAACCCCAAACCCCTGAACCCCTAAACCCCTAAACCCCTAAACCCCTAAACCCCTAAACCCTAAACCAGGCAGTGGAAGCCCTGCTGGCCGACAAGGTGTGCCTGGTGTTCTCATGGGGCTCTACCGGGGTCGTTTTGGGTCCAAGAGGGTTTGGGGTTTAGGGTTTAGGGTTTAGGTCGTTTTGGGTCCAAGAGGGTTCTCGTAGCTTCTCGCAATGTTCTTGAAAAGAGCTCCGGGTTAAGCCTGGGCTGGGGGGTCGCACGTTTTGGGAAAAAATCCGATGAGACTGATGCTTTCAGGTTTCTGCTCAACTCCCATGGGTTTGCCCGGCCAGTCGCAAGCAGGACCAAGCTGCACGGCCCGCTGTCCTCCAAAGTGCTGAGGACGCCGGGTGGGCCACGGCCGCTTTGATCGGTCGACACTTTGGGGTTCATGTGGGACTTTCCGAAAAAGGATCCTACTATTTAGGGTACTATATTAGGGTCCCCTATTTTCGGAACCCCCCATGTGGACTTAGGAGTCTCAGCTCACCATGTTCAGGGAAAATATTTTGATGTCATGTTTGTCTTCTACACATGCTACATGCATACTTAGGTACGCACGTTACATACATGCATGCATGCATGCATGCATGCATGCACACACACACACATACATACATCCATACATACGCATACGCATATGCATACACTGACACAGACACAGACAGAGACACAGACACAGACACATACACATGCATACGTACATACATACGTACATACATACGTACATACATATGTACATACATACATGCACGTTTGTACGTATGCATGTGTGGATGCATTCAGTGTATGTATGTATGCATGCATGCTGCATGTATGTATGTAGGTTTGTATTTATGATTTAAGAGGACGTATGTATGGCCTCAGAAACCCCTCGATGGTCATTTATCAGGAAGGTCGCCGGTCAGATGCTATGCTGAGTGACACATAATAGGCAGCCCTCAAAAACCAAAGGGACGATCCTTGATCCTTTTGTGTCGTTGTTTGTTCAAAGTTGCTGTAATTTGGGACTCACAGTTGTTTGGTCAACTGTAGGTCTTTATGCTAGTGATCCTGCTTTTGTTCGGGCCCAAACTGGGGTCGAGCACTCCTTCTGGAAAGCCGGTCAATATGGCTAGGGCAGCAAGGAGGACGTGAACTTGTGTATGCTTTGCCTGGCCGGTGATGCCACGGCTCGGGTGTTCGCGCTTCTCCGAACACTCGACTTGACTTGCCACTGCTGCAGATGCGTACCGCGATTTGTTTTTTTTGGCTCTTTCATGTATGCACGGACATCAGCTTAGGCAGAACTCTCCACTGAACCAAGGCCCGGAGACTCCGATGGGTCGGCCACAGGCACGAACCCTAAGCCACTTACTCCCACAACCAACACATGCATCGTGATTCCTGACACCCGAAGCCTCAAATCTCACGGCCTCGGCCGCCCTTGAACCGTTGCGAGCGGTCATGGGACGTGGCCGCGTACAGAAGGCGAAGGCGAAAAAGAAGGACAAGGCCCGCTGCGGGGCTGAGTGTGGACCCCAGGCAAATGCAGGTGACTACTGTTGAGGCGTTTTTTAGAGTCATACCGCAGTGGTTTGAATATGTTCACAAATACCCGCATAGAGTCCATGCATGTCGTTGTAGTTGGTACTATACTATTGAAATTAGTCAGGTACCGAAATTAGGTTTTGCTTCAGAAGTCCGATGCCAGAGTCTGATGCCGAACTCCGACAGACCGAACCCCTGGTCCCTCGAGCTGGTTCGTCCCGACACCGGCACTCGAAGCTCAACATGTTCCAGAAGTTGGGCCTCCCTCCAAAAGCCCTTCTGCAAGCCTTCTTCCAAAAAGACTTCAGTTGCTCCAGCAAGATAGGATCCATCTGGGGGTAACGTATCTCATACTAAGGCAGAACGATCTCTCGCTATTGATTTAGAAGGCCTCTCGCTGTTTAGGGTTCAATTTAACTCATACCTTTCCTCCACCCTAAACAAGATCATCTTTAAGGTTGGCCTTGGTGTTATCACGTCGGCTTTGTATCTTCTTGGCAAGGCTTGGAGCAATGGCAAGAGGCACGTCCGGTCGGCTGTGGTGCTACGTCGGTAGTACCTCCTTTGGAGCACCGGTAAGCAAAAGCCATATTGGAATCACGGCCTGTTGGCTTCCGTGACCACTTTAGTTCAAAGCTCTGCTCCTGCACATGGAGTGGCTGAGTATTCCGTTGCTGCGGCACTGACTCGGTTTGGCAGAGGAAGTTCAAAGCACAAGACCCTGTCTACCGTGGCATGGTCGACCCCAACGTCACTGGGCTCTGATGTGGAACTTCTGAACGCTGGGTTCCGTATAGTTTGCTGAAAGGAAGATGTCTGAATTGAGGGTACTTCTTGGTAAGTCCAGCTTTCTGGTAATCCTGCCTTACTCTGAGCCCGAAACCTGGCCAGCTACCCGCACGCTGCGTCAGCAACTAAACCCCCAACGTCCTACCCGTTAATCTGCCGGAGAACGAGGGCTGGAGTCGATTGCCTTTCGTGCTTGCTAGCTGGTCTGTCACTGAGAGTAGTGTGATTTGAGATTGCACGCAGTTGTGTTCGAGGCCTGTGGTGCTTTCTTCCTCCCGCCTGCAGCGGTAACGGAGGGCCCCCATGCGCATAATTTAATCCTTCAGGGCCTCAATCTGACGAGAGATACCGTGGATCCTCACCGGACCCCCAAATACTCGAAGCCTCCTCCCCCCCCCCCCCAAGAGCCTTGAGCCGCTGGGTCCGACTCTCGGAACCACCCCCGCGGCATGGCTATGTCCCTGCTTCTTCGCCCAAACACGAGTACATGACCCTTAATGCGGCGCTTGGATAGACTTGCGTTGCTGCCTGGCATCGCAATCTAGTGCTGAAAACTTGCCCTCTCTCTCTCTCTCTCTCTCTCTCACTCTTTGCCTCCCTCCGTCTGTCCTCCTCTCTCCTTCCTGTCTGTCTTTCTCTCTTATCTTATTCTGCAGGGCCAGAGGTGAACCCCATATGCCCATATATGCCAGCATGTGTAAGAATATGCGACTTGATACCGGGGCTGTAGAACGTCAACCCTGGAGCCTACCAGCGGCAAAGCCGCGCTGCAAAGCCAGGGGAAGCCCAGAAGTCCAGAGACCACTAAACTACCTAAACCCTTTAAACCCGAAACGTCCCAAACCCTTAGTGGAGATGAGGTGAAGTTGGCCCACCAGAAGCGCAAGGGTGTGGCGCCTCGCCCGGAAAAGTGGCTGTATGAGTTGTTCCGTGCTGATTTTCGTACACAGCACGATCTCGTACATCCAGATGATGAACCCTCTTGCTGCATCCAGCCTTCGTTCGAGATTCAGCTTGCGTACCTAGCTACATAGACCTGCAGAGCTATGGTGTCTCCTCCACAGGACCTTTGCCAGGGATTCGATGTGTAGCAACGGCGAGAGCTTTAAGGATGACCAATGTCGCAAGCATTTCCGCTTACGGGATCTCTTCCATCGGAGCTCCGCAGCTCCACCCCAGAGCCCCAAATCCCTAAACTCAGACGGACCGAAGCCTGCCCTGAGCGTGTGTGTCTGTCGAAACCCTAAACCCTATATAAACCAGTGAACCCTGAACCCCATGGTTTGGAAGAGCCAGGTGCAGAAGAATGGTGCGCCGAAAGGCGCAGAAGGGGAAAGAAGCAGTTGGCCTTCCCGGATGGTTGGATTACTCGCCTTGGGCCTAGGGTTTTTAGGGTTTAGTGTACCCAAGAGTCTTTTTCTGGTGAGACTACAGGCTCCGAGTCGTCCAGCGCTCTCGCATGAACACAGGAGATGCAGATTCCAGCGATATCCCGCCTTTGTTTGGTGTGTCCGGCGTCTTCGGCGAGAGTGCTTCGTTAGTGGCTTGGGCGCATGAAGACTAAGAGTTTTGGAGAGCCATGCTTCAAAATGTCTTACTATAGGTAGGCAGTATAGGCTGCCAGCTGCAGTTCAGAAACCGGTGCTCACCGGCAAGTACACTGATGTCCGTTCAAGCATGTGGAGAGGAAAGCATTCAATTGCACTCAACAGCGGCTTCGTCGCGGCTTTGTCAACCAAGTTCTACTGAACTCTGATGCTGTTCGAGTTTGTAACGTTACGTCGTTTTTCGGAACCTGGGACATTCTTATAACAACTGTGAGAATGAGGGCTTGCAACCTCGTGGCTCGACTGTGCCGAACACGTGCAATGCTTCCGCCGTTCCTCTCGAGCGGCAAGTTGTCTGCACTCTGCACATTCCTTTCTTCCCCCCATGGTGATGGCCTCTCCTGTGCTATGCCGCCTGGTTTGCATAGTCTCCTCCATGTGCCTTCCGGCGCAGTCCGCACAGACCGTGACAAGCACAGGCATGATGCGCTGGCAGCTTCGAGCGAAATGAAGCACGCAGGGGCGTCACAGGTGGGCTACGACTTTTGTGCCCCAAGCCCGAACAATCAAGGAATCTAGTAGGCTGTACCCATAGGCTCGTAAGTAGTTCCTCTTTATGGTTCATATTTAGAATCCTAGAAGGTAATCCCAAAAAGGAACTACTAAGGAGCCTCTGGGTACACCCCCCAAGTGAGCCTGGAGCCCAGACGCTGAATACCAAACCGAGAAATTTCAAGACATCCCCAGCCAAACCTCATTTCAAGTTTGAATCCAGCAAAAGCCTAAGGGGCCCCAGAGGCCCTACAACTTGAACTGCCTCCATACCCGAACATCCTATAGTTCTCAACCATCCTGTGCCCCCTAAACCCTAAACCCTAAACCCTAAACCCTAAACCTAAACCCTAAACCCTAAACCCTAAACCTAAACCCTAAACCCTAAACCCTAAACCTTCGTCTTGACCCCCTTTCCTTCAGGCCGTCGAGGAACAAGAAACAGAGGGATCAGACAGGGGGTTGCCTGGCAGTCCTTGAAGTTGAGAGGGTTTAGGGGATTAGGGGTTTTAGGGTTTAGGAGTTTAGGGTTTAGGGGATTTAGGGGTTTAGAGTTTAGGACTTTAGGGCTTTAGGGCTTTAGGGTTTTAGGGTTTGGGGTTTAGGGGCTAGGATAAAGGCCCATACGGCTTGCTGGCTGTTTCCTTGTGCGAGCATTTCCTGCTTCGTTGTGGTAGAAAGCCAAGGGCTAGTCAGCGATATTGTTTCGAGTTTGGGTCCAAGTGGCTTATATTTGAGGGTTCGGAGTCGTTGCATTCTCTCTTGCTCTTAGTAGGGAATCCTGGCAGAAATACGATATCCGCCAAAGACTGTGCGACAACACAGGGCCTGGGTAGGCGTTGAGTTCAACATGGGAAGAGCTGCATTACTCTGTTTCAACTTGGTCGCCATGTCTGTCTCCTTTGGTTATGTACATGTATGTCCTTGTGCAGCTGCTTGTTTAGACATTGGCCTGCTGTCTCTCTTTCTGTTTCTCGCTCTCTCGCTCATACCCTAAACCCTAAACCAAACCCTAAACCCTAAGCCCCGAACAATCAATATATCTATTTATTTACTATTTGTTTTATCCTTTTATTTATTTATTCATTCATTTATTTATTTGCTTTTTAGTTGGTTGGTTAGTTAGTTGGTTAGTTAGTTATTGTTTAGTTAATTTATTTGCAGAAGTCGCTTCCTTCTTTTTCTGTCCGATGGCAAGTCCGGAGCCTTCAACCCGAGAACCTGAAAGCTGAGGTTGCTATTACAAGGTCGAGGGCGCCAGGTGTACCGGGACAATCAACACGATTATGGGCAAGGAGCTGCCCAAAAATCGAAAATTTAGGGCCTAGAGGCAGGGATCTCAGCACGTTTTTTTCGTCAAATGGCTGACCTTTTAGAACCTGTGCGGGAGAGATGATGTGTAGAAGATTCCCAGGTTGGGTCTTGCTGCTTTCTGGGATTGGGATCTCGATGTTTGATTTAATCGGGATGTTTCGTGTATCAGGAGCTGATCCGTGGCACATGCCAGTGCATCGGCGAGCGCTACAGCTTCAAGGAAGTCGGCTTCAAACATATGACTCTGTGGCGACACTGCAAGGACGACAGGTTGAAGTGCAAGCCCTGGAAGCTCTTCCGATGAGCTTTCGCATGCTTTCGCCTTCGGGTCTAGACCTCTTACTGGCACAGCTTCTTCTCACACGTTCCGTGCGAGACGTTCCCTGCGAGATGCTGCGGCCTGATGCGAAAAAGCTGCCGCTCGCATACTCCTTCTATCTCCAGCGAATCTCCAGATGATGGATCATCTTCTCTCGTCGCTCTAATGCCCTAAACCCCTAAACCCTAAACCCTGATCCCTAAACCTAATTACCAGGGGAATAGAGGGCCACAGGCTTCAGATGCAAGGGGCTGACCTCGCAACAGTCCAATTCCCATGCCCCTTGTAGACATTGATTACCGGGTGTATGCTACACTTGGGTGGGAGAACAGACGGTGGATGATCTAAATCCTGCCTGACCCACAATTAGGAGTAAACCATAATTCCCATAGTTTAGGGTCCTTAAGGTAACATGCCGGATTTTTTACCATCAGCAGTAGCTCGATTGTGAAGTTATCAAGCTTTGGAAAACCTAGGACCCAAAACACCCCCCACGCTGACACTTCCTACACCCTGTAACCTCAATCCTAAGCTCAGCATGAACTTGCTCTCATACTTTTATGTTTCTTTTGCTTATTTGTATATGTACATATTTTTGTACATTTTGTCCAGCTATTCCGCTATTCAGCCTCCTCAAACCCGAAACCGAAAGTGTGTATGAACCTAGACCCGACCCTAGAAAGCTCCATGGGCGAGCTTTGGAAGCCATACTTGGAGGCTCATGGGTAGTTATAAGTATAAGTCCCCAAGTCTAGGTCGTCACTATAGGTGTCCTACTTAAAACCGAAGCACAGCCGTACGTGTCTTCCCTGAGTCTAGAAAGTATGTAGGGGCCTTGATGATTGGAATAGTGTTTCTCAGGGTTCCTTTTTCCTACATCTAGTATGACATCCACCCAGAGGTAAGCCCCTGTCTTACTATTCAGGCACCTCTATTACATGTCTTCCCTGTTGACGAGAAAGTAATCATCTTTGGGGTAGACAGTGCAGGAGCATGTCATCCCAACAGGCTTAATTTCTATTTCTAGGAAACTGGAAAGCTAGTATCTCAAGGGCTCCACGACAATTAGGTCTGCGTTTGGGCCCTTACGGCACGATGTTAAGACGACGGGGCAACTTAGGCTTTAGCACTGCCTTCACACTTCTCAACCGCACCGTGGGCAGTCACAAACGGAATCGGGACATGGTTTCCTACCGGGCTCTAGCTGGCGCCAAGAAGATCCCGGAGACCCCAAAACTCCCGAACTAAGGGAAACTACTTGAAGTTGTAGAGTCACAGAGGGACCCCCCCCCACAGAAGAGCATGGTTCAATCAAGGTGTATTAACTTTAGTTGAGGAGGTGCAATCAAGGTATAATAACTTGAATTGAAGAGTTTAAGAGTCTCTGGAAACTGACACCCTAAACGTCTTACGCCCTATACAAATCCCCGCATAATCATCGTAGAACATACCAAACCTTGTTCTAACCATGGCTGCATCTTGACCTTAAGTGACAGAAGGAATCGCTTAACATACGTGAACTCCTACTTCAAGGGTTTTGAAGTCCCTGGTCTGCATCTTTCAGAGGCATCCGCAGTGAAGGATGCGGTATGGTTTAAGTTACATTCGCCCGTGCGCTGAAACCCTAAACCCTAAACCCCAGCTTACGGATTAGTCAGCGAAGCGGATGGGAGAAAAGCTTACACGGATTTCAGATAATCCAACATTAAACCCTAAACCTCCAGCCCCTAAACCCTAAACCCCTAAACCCTAAACTCCTAAGCCCCTAAACCCTAAACCGTAAATTTGAACATCCCCTGTGTTGCAGCTTGAGGCTCCTACCTCGGATCCCAAGCCGGGGCGGGGCAAGCGCCGGCGCCGGGGCGCCGGCGAGGTGCCCCCAGAGGTCCGAAGGGGAGTCGGGTTTTGGGTTTAGGGTTTTAGGGTTTAGGGTTTAGGGCTTAGGGTTTAGGGTTTAGGGTTTCGGGTTTGGGGGTTAGGGTTTGGGGTTTAGAGTTTAGAGTTTAGGGTTTAGGGTTTAGGGTTTGGGGGTTTAGGGTTTAGGGGGTCCCAGACACTCCGAAAAAAGCACCTTAATTGAGACGGTTGAGGGGCTTAGGGTTTAGGGTTGCCTTAATTAAGGTCATTGAGTATAACTCATACTATGGATCCACTCCCAAAAAAATAGGGTAGATTGTGAGAAAAGCCATTCAACGCCTGGGGCTCTGGACCCCCTTTGGATCGAGCCGGAAGGCAGCGGAGTCCAAAGAGCCAAAGAGAAAGAGGCCGGTTTTGGGTTCCAGAGAACTCGGGGCTTTAGGGCTTCAGGATTGAACTTGGGGGTGTAGCATCTTAAGGTTTGCTAGGTTTTTCGACTTTAAGCTTGGGACCCTCCCTGGAGAGTGGCATTGGGGATGTAATGCGCTTGGGAGTTTTTGTCAACCCTTCATGGAGGATGCGCCCTTATGTAATGCAATTGCAGCTCCGACAGGCTAGCCCATGTTGTGCAAGCAAAGCCAACGGAAGCTCACGGTTCAAAGTACGGTTATTTGGGCCTTTTAATTTGCGGTGTTTCAGAGCTCATTATGGAGTCTTATGGGTTTCAGGATCGCGGGGTTCCGTTAGGACGCATTAAGTGTTCCTCATGTGCACGGATCCAACATCGTCCAACTCACGGCCACAGGAAGGACGCGTCCTCAAATTCCACAGCCCTGCCGGCATTTCTCAAGAGCGCCGTTTGGCTGCATCTCATTGGACCGCAAGTGGATGTAGATCAAGCACCTAGTAGTGAGCCGGTAACCTTTAACTTTTTTGGGGGTAATTACGAACGTTTCGAAAATTTCAGGTTAACCTTGAATTAGTTCCCTTAGTTCCCCCATAGGATACTGGACAGGTAAGAGCAATGCCAGCCCGCCAGATTCGAGGCAATGCTTCCTCAAGCCGACGCTGGCCCAGCACTGCCCAAGAAGAAGGCAGACGAAGGTTGAGGGCTTCGGGGGGGAAGTTGACGGCCGCACCATACCACTAGTAGAGACGTAAGAGGGGCTTGAGGGCCTTTAGAGACAAGGGTTTAGGGTTTAAGGGAGTGGAGGGTTTCGGGCTTCGGGATGCAAGGTTCAAGGGGGTTGTCTGGGGTTTGGCCAACCATCCTCTTCCGAGTTGCCGAAGCAAAGTAAGCCAGAGTCGCAGGAGTTGGAGAGCATGGCCGACTACTCTCGACGGCTGGATGACGCTGTGAAGAGCAAGCTCCAGGCAAGAAGCCCTAAACCATCCCTGAAACGATGTGATTCACCATTCCAGCGTGGAGGAATATGTACCTGATGCCACATCTTGGACCCATTTCCCCGACAATTTTAATTCCGCTTCCTTTCGATTGCTTGACAATCTAGGAGACAAGCAAGCTTTCGCCGAAGTTTCACCGTGTGAACTTTGAAGCTTGCATTCGCAACAGTTCGGGGTCGGATTTCTGCGGCGCAGAGTGGATCTCGTCAGCAGAGGCACGGACTAGCTGCCTTGGCAAACCGCCTTGCAGTTCAGCTTTTAGGTATTCCTTGCTAAGTCAATACAGGATTTGGTTTCGTAACCAGGTCTGATGCAGTTTTCGAGAATCGACTCGCATCTGTGGCTTCGATTCAGTGTGTTGAGAGTACTGTTGCGGGGTGCATGGAAGCCACGGCTTCGATTCGGAGCCTTCCAGCGATGAGCCGAATCAATATCCTCTTGACCCTGTCCGTTAAGTGTTACTTTTCATTGTCATTAGCTGGAACAGACAGAACTTTGGAGCGACCAAATACGCCATCTCCGATGACTCCATGACACTAGAGACAAACCTGTCGTCGCAGCAGTCCAGCCGATGCAGCATCAGCCGAAAGGTCGTGCAGAAAAAGGCGAACACAGATCACCAGCGGCAGCGGCAAAAGGACCACGGCGACGTCATCCTTCCGATGTTTCTGATTCGCTCCAGCTGTTTGCATAGCCGCAGTGCTGCCTCAGAAGCCACTAAACTCAAATCCCCGGCACAATCCCAGAATGCTGCCCGCTGTTCCATGCATACTGACCTGTGGGCGCAACCGATCCTGCAATCGAACCTTCAGAACCAGAGCTACCCGATAGCCATCACCGGGTTTAGGGTTTAGGCTGGCGCCGGTTCCTGGCACATGCATAGACCAGGTTTAAAAAAAGGATTAGGCTTTAGGAGTCTTCACCACCCACACCATGATGGTCATCTTTCAATTTTGCCGGAAGTGGTTGCAACCTCTCAGCAGCCCTCGCATCATAGGATATCCCTGTAGCCGAATCCCAGAAGGCTAAATGTCAGAGTTTGCTGTGCACTTGTGCCCTTCATGTAGGTGAGATGTGTTTCGCAGTTTCAGCTCTTGATACTTTTGTTGGCTGCCTCGCCTCGACGTGCAGCCTGAACTTCAGTTCCTAGCCAGCGCACCGTGAACCTCATCTGTTCAATCCCAGTGTGAGAGCAGAAGCCCCAAAATTCAGAAAGCTAGTCAGTAGCGAATCCTCTGCTGCGAGCTGCGAAGGAGCGAGCCAAAGTCCTCAAGGAAAAGAAGAATGCAAAGAAGGGCCTGAAGACGAATCCGACCGAGGTTCCCAAGCGCTTCGGGTTTAGGCTTCAGGAGGCGGGGTGGTGTTTCAGAAGTTCACGCATTGAGTTTCAGTTCGACCCGAACTCTGCATTGTGTACCTTTTCTGGTGGGCGTACGTAAATACCCTATTAGTAGGTCACGGGGCAAGAAGGAATCATGTGAGCTGCCCAACAGCCGGGCATGAAGCCCACCCCGGAGTCTTGCTTGACCTGCAGTCCGAACGTCCGAACGCGTCAACTCGTACCCTCAAGCCCTAGCCTACTTGAAGGTTCATGGGTAGTTAGAAGTGGAGTTATAAGTCCACCCATAAAGGTTCTATCTATAGCTAGGTACCCTACTTATAACCTTACTTGTAACTACCCATGAACCTCCAAGTAGACACATCTAGATATAAGCCCTAGACTATGACGCACATCTCAACACCCCTCACCTTTGTCTTCGCTTCACTTTCTGCAGTAGTCTGAGAGCCTTAAGTGTAAAGTCTTAAGTACCAAAAAGTGAAGTCTGAAACTAAGCCCTCACCCACCCTTAAACCGGTTGCGGAATGGTTGTGAGTCTTTGGATCATCTACTGCTGGAGTGGTCCTGCAGCGCCCAGTTGCGAGTCCAAACCGCATCCCGAAGGCTTAATTAAGCCAACAATTCTTCGAGCCCGAGAAAAATCTGTAGCATCTCGAAACCCTGTTTGAATTCACGAAGAATGTTTAGCATCTCAAAACCCTATTAGAATTCATAAGCACTCTTATTTCGTATCCTTTGAGCAGGTTCCAGAGCCTCTCTTGGGCCGCATGGACCGGCCGAAGTTCGGAGACGTGGTGCAGCGACCGCCGACCTTCAGCAAGGCCCCGAAACGGGGATCCAAAAACCAAAGATCCTCAGTTTAGGATATATCAAGCTTGTTTGACCGTCATGACATATGTACGGAATACTCTGGTTGTAGTTCACAAGCCATAGGTGTGGGTTCCCTGCGTATGGGGGTGCGTGTCTGTGTGGGTGTTCTAAAGCATCACTTCGAAGAGGTACAGTAGGGGTAGGCCAACCATGCGTCCGCAACCGAACAGTTAAGGGAACACTTGATCCTAAAGCCGGGAAGCCCTCATACCCCCCCGCCCTAAATCCTAAACCCTGAACCGAACCCTTCAAACTTCATGCGCCCATGCCAGAAGCTTCAGCTTGGAACTCGCGCACAGACAAGCTGAAGAGCTTCTGGTCGCCTTACTCACGGCAAGCCTTGGGATGTGTCTACGATTAAGTTATCATGCGGCGACCTTGGACACAAAAAGTCCGGGGCCCATAGAAGCTTTCTTACTTAGGGGCATCATGCATCGATCGGGAAAGTCCTTAGCCAGGATGCCTTGAAGGCGGGAGCCAAAGGGAAGCTCGGCAAGCAAATGCTGAAGGTAGGTGGAAGCGGGTCGTGAGGCTGAGGTTTGCATGAGACTTATGCCTGTTGATTTGCACAGGCTTCTGATAGAAGTAGGTGCCAAGGCTTGGGTGCTCAAACCGAAGCCATCCATTCCGAGATCGGAAGGTGCAGAGCATGCAATTTGTTCATGCGAGTACTCATTACAGGAACTTGAAGCATGATTCCTGAATGTGACACCCTGTTGCCAAGGAAGCAGAAGTCCGGTGATGGCGCAGGCCTGTTGGGACTTTCATGTTGCAGCAGATCCCAGCAGCTAACCGCTCCACGAGTTGTGTGCCTCAGGATTTGTTGCATGTTGAATTAGTGACTATAGTGCCATCCAGAAGCACTATTCCCCACCGAATCACGGAATTTTCGTTAACTCCGAGGCACTGGTCTCGTAACCCTTGCTGCAGGCAAGCAAGGGACTTTGGCTGCCAGCAACTTAGCAGACTACGTCGGCCAAGTTCGAGATGCTTACGAGACCATGCCACTAGACCCGGAAAGACTTTTTGGGTTTAGTTTTTGCATGGTGTCGGCTTTTTGGGGCTTCGGAGCTTCGGCCGCAGACGTTCACGGGTTCAGTTCAGGGCTGTGGATGGAAGTAATTTTGCCCCATATTTGAACTTACACCGTCAACCCGCAAACCACAACAACGTAGAGCTTCTCCCTAAACTAAGCCTGCACGCCTCAAAAGCCACAGCCAAGGAAGAAGAAGCGACAGGCTGCTGCAGCCACCAAAGTCTGAGGGCAGCAGTTTCCAGAGAGCCCGAGTATGCCCGGACCATATGTTCCTGCATGGATGTGCCTTCAAAACTATGCAGGTGTGTGTGTGTGTGTCTGTGCTTTCTGAAACTATTTTCATGCATTGTCTTGATTACATCTGCTGGCAATAGTAGGTGACATGTTGCATAATTGTTTTGTATTTACAACTACCTGGCTTACTTCGAAACTGGGATAGAGCAGAGTTGCTTCTAGAAAAGACCATACCAGCCAGATGTGTGTTGTGTGACGTGTGTAGAGTGTAGCGTCTGGGACTTTCCTGCCTAACCTTGCTCATCGCAGCTGTAGCAGGCCAGCGGAGCTCTGGTGGTAGCTTGAATCGAAGGGACAGTTTTCATTACCGGAACGTTCGGCTCTTACGGGAAATAAAGGATGCTGGCAGCGCCGAAGAGCGGCGAGTGCTCGCAACAGTAGCCGGGCTGCTCTTTGTAGTTAATGGGTTCCTCAAAAGGGCCCGCTCATGACTGTACTTCGATCGCCTCCCTTATCCCGACAAAGACCCGAGACACAACCTTTTCATGGCAATCTCCCTACACATGTTACGGTCAAGTGAATAGTTTGCAGGTTCATTTTGGATCCTTTGGCTCCGGATGCACCGTTTCATCACAGCAAGGCTGGTAAGAATGACGGTACCGGAGCGGAGTCGCCAAGGCATGACCAAAAAGAGGCGGTGAGTCATGCTGGTATTGTCGCCAATATGCTTCCGGAAAGTCTTAGGCCGGGCGAGAAAAACTCGGAAGAGGTATGATGCTGACTGCTTGTAGTACTAACTTGAATGTCGACCAGCATACATTGGAAAGCCCGCGAAGTCACATTGTTCCGGCAGAGTTCCTCTTACGGTGTCTCTAAACTGTAGCCTTGTTTTTCTCAGAAACTTCTGTAGAACAACCTGCCGTGACACAGCTTGTGAGGATGACCAGTGGGTGCCGTGGGAGGAGCTGGTGAAGCCGTGGAAGCCCGAGGTTTGCGGTTTGCGAGATTGGGTCGGTATCATACACAGGTTTCGGGCTTGATCAACGGGAACAGAGAGGCATGACAAGTTGGGGCGACTTGAGGGCTTGTCTCTGGCAAGGTGCCTGCCTGATTTTGACTTATTCGTTATCTTACCTATACATTAGCCATCTTTTGTTTGCAAACCTATCTCTGTGCACACAAAAAAAAAGCCCATCTATAGAGATGGTATCGCCAACAACTTTGTTTAATTTGCTCTGCTCTAGTGTCTTGTGCGGTCAGTGGCGAGCGGTCGTCTTCACCGAGGTCCCTCGAGCGCATCTTTGGCCGCTGGCCAGGTTTCAAGCTGCGCAGTGTCCGAGGCTGCGACAAAAAGGACGGTGCTCTTTGTGTGTATACATGTGTACGTCTGTATACGTGTTGCAGAGTCGATTACACATCTCTTCGACCAGAACATCTCATATTTGTGATTGTGTGTGCGTGTTGATCTTTCTATCTGTCTATCTATCCATCTGTCTATCTAATCATAGATATATACTAACTATTACTACATGTGTATCATATGTAAACATAGAGATTTGCTTGTGATTCCTCTACCTCAGTACTGATTAAAAATAGTTGTGCAATTGTTTGCGTTTCTGAAAAGATGTAGACTGTTTAGATAGACAGAAGCGGCGTCGGTGGATAGTGATAGAGCTCCTGAGTTTTGGGCAGGTCTGTAGCAGCCTGGGCAGTGCCAGATGATGCTACATTGGGTTGTCATTGGCCGTTCAGGGACGCGCCATTCACTGGGCCTGATAACTTCATTCATGCTTCTACCATATGGGCTTGCTTTGCATGGCCAGGGCGTGGACACGTGGTCGCGGCATCCTCAGCTGTACCAAAGGGGTTCTTGATATTTAGGTAAGGGTTGGTGTTTTAAGCCCCGTCAGCCTGTCAGAAGCTTTGGGATGAGGTTGTCTGTACACAGTCGGTCTCTGGGAACGAACCTTCTGCAGAAAACCTGCCTATGCTCGGGATAGAGAGAGAGAGCGAGAGATGCAGTCTTGCCGAGGAGCAGTGGGAAGGAGACCTTCTACACGAGTTCATGAAGGAGTATGCAGTGGAAGCATATGATGCCTGATCGAAGTGAGAGAGAAAGGTTGACCTCTCCATGGTCGAATGTGGAAAAAGAAGTTGGTGCAGGATGTTCCGATTCTTTCATGAGCGGGTTGTACGTATTGTTCTGCGGCATCATTCGCCTTGCCTTTCCATTGCCTTTCCATGTGAATCCGCTGGGTACATTTAGTTGCATAGGCATGCAGGCTCCATACGTGCAGTGAGGGTGTTGTGCACTAGTGGCAAAGAATCTCTCATGGTTGGCATGGTTTACAGCAAGCCAATCTCGCTCGAGTATTCCTCGGAGCGTCATCTCTACCTGGAGGCCTGCATGTTGGCATTCAGGTTCAGACATGTTGATGGCTTCTGGTGCGAGGGTATTTGGTGCCCCACATGCGCACCGTCAATTTGCAGATGCCGGATATACAGAGCCTCGAGCACCCGACCCGCCCCGCGGGCGTGCTCCTTCGTCAGATTCTGCATGCTGGGCGAACACAGCATGTGGAGCTGCGTTTTGCTTCGGGCTTTCCAGATCTAGAGAATCCAGAGGGTTCTTGCCAAGGAGGTTCTCAGCGAACACAGGAGCTCTCAAAGACACCGACGCCAGAGCAGAGAACATGCTCGAGGCTAACCTCCGGCGACTCAAAGATCACGCCGCCGCCCTGGGCGGCAAGTGCCTGGCGATCGAGTATAAAAACAGGAGGACGAATGTCCATTGGCAGTGCCGACATGGACATAAATGGGATGCAGCGCCACACAACGTGCTGAATAACAAGAGCTGGTGTCCCGAGTGTGCCAGGAACAGGCGGCGGATTCCTCTGCAGCGGCTGCAAGATCATGCGAGGGCTCGAGGTGGCCGATGTCTGTCAGCGAGCAAATACAACAGGTCGCAAACACAGGTGCCTTGGGAGTGCGAGTTGGGACACACCTGGGAAGCCACACCGAGCAATGTTCTTCACAGGGCATCCTGGTGCCCTGCCTGCTCCCGCAAAGGGCGAACCATCAAGAAACGCAGCTTGAAGGATTTGCAGGACCACGCTGCTTCCCTCGGTAGCCGCTGCCTCTCAACTACCTTTGAGTCCATGAGGACACCAGTGCGTTGGCAGTGCCACGAGGGTCACACTTGGCCTGCACGTCCTGACAATGTCCTAAACTCCAAGAGTTGGTGCCCCGTTTGTGCAGGGAAGGCTCCGCTCGATCTGGGTCGGTTGCAAGAGCATGCAGCACGTCGGGGTGGCGAGTGCCTGGCTACTGAGTATGCGAACAACAGGTCGAAGGTGACCTGGAAGTGCCAGCACGGCCACACCTGGCAGGCAACACCCAACATGGTTCTGAAACAGGGTCAATGGTGTCCCCACTGCAGGAAAATCGGTCTGCCACGTCTGCGGGCTCATGCCGCCTCTCTCGGAGGAAGGTGTTTAGCCAAGTTGTACCAGAACGCCAATGAGAAGCTCCTCTGGGAATGCACGGAAGGGCACCGGTGGAAGGCCAGTGCCCGTAACGTAATGCATGGTAACACGTGGTGCCCGCAGTGTGCTACCAGCACTTGGCGCACAGAGGCGGAGGTCCGAAGCATGCTTGAGACCATCTTCCATCCTGCAACTTTCCCATCCTGTTGGCCTTCCTTTCTTGAAGGCTTGCACTTGGATGGATACTGTTCTAACTTGAGCTTGGCCTTCGAGTACCAGGGGGAGCAACACTACGATCCCGAGAGTTATTTTCACTTCGGTAATCCTTCTAGCTTCCACGCCCAACAGGAAAGGGATGCTAGGAAGGCCAATCTCTGCAGAGAAGCCGCACCCCAGCTCGTGATCGTCCCATGCTTCGTGAACGACAAGAGGACCTTTGTCCTGACAGCCTTGCTGCAGTGGTTCTCATGGGCTCAAATCGCACCAACGGAGCTGCCCATGCCATGTGACTTGCACGGCACACTGGGAAGTTCGCCTTGAAGAGCACTCCTGCCTTGAACTTGCGAGCTGTGCAGCACCCTCTCGCTCGCAGTCCTCCGACAAAGACATCCGAGGAATACGGCATGGGATAGGTTGCTTTAAAATGCAGTGCACTTGAGGTCTCTGCCGGCGGATAGAGGTTGACCAACATTCAAGGGAGTTAAGCTTGATTCACGGCAAGCATGCCGGCCAGTTACTGGGTGATTCCTGTAGGTCATTTTTGAATAACCTATTCTCCGAGACTTCTCCGAGCTTCAGATCTGACAGTAAATAGCCCTAGATCGTCGCTCAGTGTTGCGTAGATCCTTTTCACTTGAGAGGCTTCGTCCTTTGCGGACAGGCCACTATTCAGAATTGATTGCTGACGGGGTTCTGAGGTTTTCCGATGAACTTGGGGATCGACGGATGCCGACCCACGCTTGCGCGCCCCTTTTTTGGTCAAGCTGGTTCGTCGCACATGGTTGCCCAAGAAGTGTTTTGGCGACCATCGCATAGTGCTTGCGCCGCCATTCATGAACCTGGCAATGCGTTTTAATCGTTGAACCACCATCTTCCTTTCTTAAGAAAACCTGAGCACGTCTTGTTCCGAATTCGCAGTGTGATCCTCGACACAGCTGCCATGGCGAGCTCGATTCGCGTGCGCCTGCAGCACCACAAAGACAGGCTGGGGCTCTGAGAAGAAGAGAAGACGCAGTAGTACAGATGACTCTTGTGTACTGTATACCCTGTCGTGGTATGGGGTTCGGACCGAAACCGCCATCGAAAAGCCATGCTCGATGTTTTTGGGAAGGGCTGCTCGTCTTCTAACGCAAGAACACAAAGTGTTGGGAGTTGCTTGGCGTAGGTAAGAATTCACCAACTTCTGAAACCGCAATGCTGGCGTTCCAAATCCTACGAGCGAGCCAGCAGCAGGTTTGAACTGACAGTGCCGGCTGATGGCAAGGTGCACGGCACCAAGTTGGCTTCTGAAAGCAGGTGATTGTGGCTTGAGTGCCGTTCGTGTTGACTTGAAGGTGTAAGAAGCCACCGTTCAAAATCCGCTGCGGTTCAGTCTGAATTGAAAAAACTGTTGCTCGGGAATTGCATGGGATGTTCCTTTCGAGGTCCGAATTGTCCGCGGCTGTGGCGGAGTCTACAGGAGTAGCGCCGGGCAGGCCCGGATTGCTTCGACCGGTGCTTGATGAAGATTCGTAATTAGTCTGCATGTTGATTGTTCGGAGTTAGTTCAGGTTCACCCCTTCTGTTTATTTATCACACAGACATAGGCTGCGAGGACCGTTGTTGCAGGAATCTGGGCAACGGAGAGCGTGAGCAAGTGCAGTTGACAGTGCGTCTCATCCGAAGTCATAGACTATATACTTATTGGCCCCGAAAGTCCCGCAGCATATTCATACTATTCGCTTGTAGTCCCTGTATAGTTACACGACAACATGCCTACAAACTCTATACCAAATATTTAGGCCCCTATCATGAGACCCTAGAATAACAGCCCCACCCACGCACAGGCAGCGGCTGATCTGCCGTGGGAAGGTGCCGAGACTGCCTGGGCATCTGTTGATCCACTTCGAACTGCACTAAACAACTTTACAGTAAGGCTTGGTCAATGTTATCCGGCCCTAGCGGGACCTAGACTGGAGTATGAAAGCTTTAGAGATTACATTCCGTGCTCTCTGGTCAGGGTACAGTCTGTTCACCATATGCTTGCTGGTTCTGAACGCTTCGTAAGGTGGAGTGGTTGCTTCTGACCAGAGAAATGCTCTGCCTGTGTAAAACAATGAAGAGAACAGTCGAATGTCTCTCCGTCCTTGACTTTGCTTTCAGGTACTCACTGACGCATCAACAATGCTCAGCGACTTGCTTCCAAAGGTGCGCATCCATTCAGCGGACTGTTTCACCGTGACAGCACAGGCCGAAGCCAACATGAATCTATTGTCGGAGTGTAATGCAGTTACTGTAGCGATGCCGCAATGGCACTCGTCCTGTTGCTTCTTCAGGCTGGTAGTACAGAAATCTCCGTGATGCTGATGCAGAAGGAGAGTCAGACGCAGCAGGCAGCATGCCAAGAAGCCCAATGCAGACACAAGCTGACCGATGCGCAAGTTGTCATAGGGGGTTGACCCTAGAAGCAAGGAATCTTACAGCGTGAACCCGCAAGCAAGAAGCTGAAGCCACACCCCTAAACTCCAAACACAACAAGCCCTAGACACCCTACCGACAATCTCCATTTTGGCTTTCGCGTTTTGGAGAACAAATCTTGCGGCTAGGATCCTATAACACAGGCTTGCTTAACCAATAATGGGTTTGCGTTTAGGGCCCGGGTGGCACGAGGCACAGCACAGTCAGCACCTCGGTTCCTGCCTTGAGCATGGCCCCGGTTTAGGTTAGGAAACCCTAACCCTGAACCCTAAGCCCTAGAACCTAAACATGCGGTCCGTCGTCTCTGAGAGTGTAAGGGCCTGGGACTTACCCCCACACAGGTGCTCTTGTTCTGGAAATGGTCTTCCCTGCAGTGCGGCCTGGTCAGCGAAGCGGGTGGGAACAAGACCTAAACCCTAATTAAACCCTAAACCCCGAACCCTAAACCTTAACCCTAAATAGGCAAACCAAGCCCTCCGGGGATGAACGCTCTGCCGCTGAGGCTCAGAGGCGCTGGAGCCAACTTCGGCACGTGGCCATGGAGTGGCTTCTGACTATCTGGGCCGGAGAGGGGGGGTTTAGGGTTTAGGAATTTAGGGATTGGGGTTTATAGGGTGTATTGGGTGTATTGGGTGGGGTTGGAGTTTGATAAACTTAGAGTTTGGGGATGTTTATTGTTTAAGGTGACTGTCTGGGCCGCAGAGTTTGGAAGGTCCGTGCATCTAGGCTTCAGCCATGGGCTTAGGTTTGAAAGCTTGGCACAAGTCCGTGTCACCACTTCGGGATCGTTAGCTTCTTGGTGGGGAGCTCATTCAAAATCCTGGAAGGCAGGTTTGAGGTCTCAGTAGTTTGTTGGTTGCTATGTTGGATTCCACAGTGAGGGGCCTCTCTGTCGATGCTCACAACTAAGCTTCGAGAGGCCAGTATATGCCCAGCAGGTACCCGGTCGTCCCCAAGCCTACTGTTACGATTTGGTTCCATCCAACCGCAGACATGCCAGCTGCGCTGGAAGGCAATCCTGTACCGCTTCTTTCATTCGCTCTTCGCCGAGTGCTCAGCTCACAAAGGGCACGCAGCTCCTCCTTGTTCCTTCGTCAGGCAAAGAGGCATGTTTGCGTCAAGGCTGCTGAGGCCCCTAAGCCTGAACCATCCGGCTTTGTGTGCCTTCGCGATTATATGGAGTTGACTACTCTGCCACTTCCGAGGTCCCGGGCGCCTACGTGGGCAAGGGGCCCAAGGGCGGCAAGGCAGGGCCCAGTGCTATTGCATCCTGGGAAGATGCCGGGAAGGATGACAAGCTACTGAAGCGATACTCTGCACTACTAGTAAAAAAGTTCCAGAGTTCGAAGTCTCAGACCCCATAAGTATTCTACCCACTGCCGAAGGAATATGAGCTTTAGATTGCCAAACCCAAGCCTGAAACCACCCGCACCGACCTCGAAGCTTACACCCAAAAGAACCCTAGGCTACTAAACTCGACAAAAAACGAAGAATCCCACTAAAGGCCCTTATGGGCGATGATTAAACCTGACCATCTTCAGCTCTACCAGCCCAAAAAACCCAAAGCCCTAAACCCTAAAACCCAAAGGCCCATCACCGCACCGACGACCTGGACCCGTCGGACCTGGCCCGCCTGGCCGCCTGCGGCGCGGGCGGCTGAGGCTAAGAACCGGGCGGCATTGGGCCGAAGGCGGCCTCGCGAATATTTGGGAGTTTCTCATAATAAGGGTACCTTGATTGGGGTCCTTATAATAAGGATCCTGCTGTTTGGGGTGCTGTACCAGGGTCCCCTGTTTTCGGAAACCCCCATTTGGAAGGAAATATCTTAGGGGGGAGTCTCATGAGCTGAGTACGATTAGTCTGGACGTGCCGCATGCCAGAAGTCCGTGGGGCTTTGCTACTTGGGCGGGGCTCGGTGTCTTTTAGGAAGCTCGTGGGCAGAGCTACGGTTGCTGATATAAACCCTGCATTACCCATAAGTCAAAAGGAATATACCAGAATTCCCATAGTTTAAGGTCCTTAAGGTAATGCGAATTATACCATCAACAGTAGTACGTTTTGATTTGTACAAGCTAGAAGCTTCTATGCGAACCCGTGAAGCACGGGGCCTCCCATGGTCGTGCCGCCCAGCTGAGTTTCATGAGACCTCATGTGCAAAGGCAGTCCTAAACCCTAAACCCTAAACCGTAGTCCTTAGTTCTTCGCAGAAATGTCCTGTTTGATGGCTGTAGTTACTTGGCAGAGTCTGGGATTTTTCCTGCGCACTTGAAGAGGTCCGTTGCCAAGAGGGCTGCTCCATGAGGATCATACGTCGCTTCTAAGCCATGAAGCATCATGAATGTATTCGTGAGATAGCCCACTTTCGAGAGATAAATTTCGGGCTTTCATTAGCATGGGCTACCCTCTCGGCTTGAAGTCAGCGCCGCTGCTTGCACGAGTGAGATCTGCCGGACGTCCAGCATAAGAACGCCACAGCTCACAGCTGGCACTGCATGTTGAACCAATGTGCCAACCAATCCTCCGAACGATGTCAGCCGAATTGCGAAGCCCCAATTAGAACAAGTGCTTGCGCAGGGTCAACACCTTGTCCAATCCCTGTGTCGTATATGGGTCGGTTCACAGAACAGCTCAAGAACGTTTGTTCTGCAGAGTATGCGACTTGCTGGCTGTTCCGACTGATGCTGGACGATGAGCGGTTGAAAGTGAGAAGTGCGGCTGCTGAAAGTGACAGGGCAGGGACGCTGACACACCGAAGACAAACAGAATCCCAAACCGTTCAATCCTGGACCTGGAGTGTTTCTTGCGCACCTCAGTTTGGGGTTATAAGTA